TATTTTTTTTAGTTTTTGGCGGACACAACATCTTTGTTTGTATGTGGTGCTGAGGATCGAACCCGGGCCGCACACATGCCAGGCGAGCGCACTACCACTTGAGCCACATCCCCAGCCCAAGTAGTCTTTTTCTTAATGGGTCAGGAAACACTAAGAAACACTCTTTACATGGGCTATCAAACCTTCAATTGTTACACTGTTGATACTTTTCCCAAGTTAAATTTATGTTTAATTTTGTTTAAGGTGGACTTTGACTTTTTATACTATAATCCAGTCAAAACGTTTTTTTTCTTTTAAAGATGTTAGCCTTCTTCAGATTAAATTTTCTTTTTGTAATACAGATTTTATTCTTTTCACCTTGATGTGATTCATCTGATGCTTATGTCTGTGTACAATGAGGAAGAGACAATTGCTCCGTCAGCAGGACAAGCATCCTTTCCCTACTAATATGAGCATGACATCTTTATCATACATTCAGACACAGACTTTTCAACCTTTCTATTCTGTATAAGCCCTAATGTCACATAAACCAGATGTCACCATATTACTGATGATTTTAAGATGTTCTCTGTGACATTTATATGTATTTGTTCTTGCAGATGAACAAGTCCAAAATTACACCACTGGAATTTTGATCAAGATTCTTTTAAATCTATGGGATAATTAAGAGAAAACTCAGCTTTACTACAGGAAATCTTCCACTTTGAAAAGAAAATAGTCATCTATATCATTCAGGTATATTAGCTGCCTTTACATATTTTCTGCATATTTCTTATCAATTCCTTCAAATTTTATATTTTAATGCTTACCAAAAGCAAAATATTTTCTAACTAAATTTTACTTACATGGATTTTGTTTTGTTTTGTTGGTTCTTCTCAGTTATACATGACAATAGAATTCATTATGAACTCTTATGGATTTTTTTTTTTTTTTGAGGGGGGTGGCTACCGGGGATTGAACTCAGGGGCACTCAATCATTGAGCCACATCCCCAGCCCTATTTTTTTTTTTTTAATTTTTTTTGTAGTTGTAAATGTACAGAATGCCTTTATTTTGCTTATTTATTTTTATGTGGTGCTGAGGATGGAACCCCAGTGCCTCAGGCACGCTAGGCAAGCGCTCTGCCACTGAGGTACAGTCCCAGCCCTCCAGCACTATTTTGTATTTTATTTAGAGGCAGGGTTTCACTGAGTTGCTTAACACCTTGCTTTTGCTGAGACTGGCTTTGAACTTGTGAGCCTCCTACCTCAGCCTCCCAAGCCACTGAGATTACAGGCATGTGTCACCATGCCTGGTTAAACTCTATAGATTGTTAATACTTATTTTTACTTAAAAAAATTTTTTTTCTGTAGTTGTAGATAAACAGAATGCCTCTGTTTGTTTATTTTTATGTGGTGCTGAGGATTGAACCCAGACCCCATACATGCCAAGCAAGCACTCCGCCACGAGCCCCAGCCCTGTTAATACTTACTTTTAACTAGTAACTTTATCAAGGTGTACTATATTTGTAAGAGGTGGTTTAGGTGAGAGTCCCTAGATATTCCAAAGAGGATACTATTAAAAAAAAAAACACTGCCCAGTCCCCGCAACCCACAAACAGAAAGTATAAGTGTGTCTGGGAAAGAAGGCAGCAAGGTATCTTTAACACAGAGCTCTTCATAAATTTTCCAGTTGATGCTCATGCACATTTAGGACCCACCAGCTCAAACCACCAAATTGAGTACAGAAGCGGACTACAGAGTGTGTGAATGAACATGCATAAAGTTTTATGTGACTTCTCACATCAGAAGCTTCAGAAGCTGCCATCTCAATAACCGTACTGGAGACAAAAATCAGCATATCACAGAAGCTATGGAAATATTTCAAAGAGCCACGCAGTGCACACTGTCATCTCAACCACACCAAAAGCTGAGGCAGGAGGATTGGAAGTTCAAGGTCAGCCTGGGCAACTTAGCAGACTCTTTCTTAAAATAAAAAATAAAAATGGGCTGGAGATGTGGCTCAGGGGTAACGTCCAAGGCTGAAACCCCATTACTTCACAAAGAAATGAAAAGCTCCAAAGGTTGGTCAAATTCAAGGGGAGACAACAGAAAATAGTAGTCAACCATAATTATGCATAAAATATGCTTGTAGAAAATACCCACATCAGCTCTGCACCCTGAAGTCCCTGCAAAGTATCCTAAAGTCCCTGGAGAGTATCCTAAACAAACTGGTTCTTAATCTGATGAGACAAAGAACTACTCTGGCTTCAAAAATTACCCTGCTGGGCTGGGGATATGGCTCAACTGATAAAGTACTTGCCTCGAATGCCCAAAGCCCTGGGTTCAGTCCCCAGCTCTACCTACACACATACAGACACACACACACACACACACACAAAAAAAAACACTCTGTTAACATGTTCCTTTGTAGAAAGAGAAATATGGTGAACACCCAACATACTCTATAAAAACAGGGACACACTAATGTGAAAACTATCAACAGCTATTACTTTTATTTAAGATGGAAAATGGAACCTCAAATCAATCTTAAGATACCTCAAAATAGTTCAGTAATATGTAAATCTGAGCTGATATTCCATGAATTCCAGATAATTCTCAAAAAACAAAATGACAAGCATAAAATATGAAGCACTCAGATTCAAAGGGATCATATCTTCTGGGTCAGTGGTTTTCAAAGAGAGAGATCCCCTGAACAAAGCGAGGCTACTGCAGCAGAGCACCATGTCACTTATCAGAGCTCTCGGCAGTGTGCGCCCTGGTGGATGCGTGTGCTGCTCTCTCAAGTGAACAGCCCTACGTAGCTACTTCCTTCTAGTGCTTCCCCGTGTCACCTGATCCCACCAGAACTCTGTAAATGGGCTGTCCCTTCGAGACAAGAGGTTCAAAGATGCTGAAACTAATCTAAAACCACCCACCTAATATATGAGAGACACAGATGGAATACAAACCTTGTTTTTCTCTACTTTTATCAAGTTGTTATGGTATGGATGCGAGGTGTTCCCCGAAAGTTCCTGGGTTAATGGAGGAATGTTTGAGGGTAAAATGAATGGACTGACTGGTAACTGCTGACAGATGGAGCCTGGCTGGAGGGGCAGGTCACTAGCGGTGTGCCCTGGGTGCCTTTTCCCTGTGGCCCTTCTCCCTCCCTATCTCTGCTGCCTAGCTGCCACCAGCTGAGCAGCTTTCCTTCACTGCTCCCTTGGGCTATGAGGTGTTGCTTCAAGTTGTACATCTATAGACTGAGACTTCTGAGACCATGAGCCCCAAATAACTTTGTTCTTCTCAGGTATTTTAGTCACAGTGGCACAAAACCTGACTAAAACAATAGTACTGTTTTCTACAATAGCATCTGATAATATTTATATTCTTATTTTCAGTATACATTCTCATTTGTTATTTCACTTTCTTTCCATATTTCTACAAATTACATGGAAACAGAATCATTCACCATATTTCAAATGATGGAATGAGTTAAACTAAAATGAAATGTTTGTGAAATCACTTTGAAAGTATAAAATACAAATGCAAGGTAGCATTATATACAAGTTAGCCACCAAAAAGACAAACATTACAAGATTCCACTCACATGAGGTCTGGAGTAATCGAATTCACAGACAGAGAGGAGGATGGTGGTGGCCAGGGCTGGGAAAGTGGGGGATATGGAGTCACAACTTTGTGGGTATAGAGTTCCAGTTTCAAAATATGAAAAGGACCATGGAAATAGTGAAGATTATGTGACATTATGAATATGCTGAACTGGGTACTTCAAAATGGTTAAGATGTGGGGCTGGGGTTGTGGCTCAGTGGTAGAGTACTTGTTTCGCACCTGTAAGACCCTGGGTTAGATCCTCAGCACCACATAAAAATAAATAAGTGAAATAACGGTATTGTGTCCAACTACAACTAAAAAATATTTTTTTTAAATGGTTAAGATGTGTATTTTAAGTTGTATGCATTTTACCAGAATTTTTAAAAAGGAACAAAGTGAAAAGCGATGGTCACGGGAAAATTATTTTTAAAAAACAAGTAAAAGGAGCTGGGGATGTGGCTCAGTGGTAGGCTAGCATAAGCAAGGCCCTGAGTTCAATGCCCATTTTTCAAAGTTGTTTTGTTTTTGTTTTTGTTTTGGGTACCAGGGATTGAACACAGGAGTGCTTAACCACTGAGCCACATCCCCAGCCCTCAAAGTTTTTCTAACAGATTATGAAGCCCTTTTACCAGGTTTTCAGCAAGAAAATAATAGGAATTGTTTATTCCAAGGGAAGAGAATAGCAAGGTGAGTTTTTCATACATGCCCACCTAGGTTACAGAATTCAGAAATCACATGTCTCCTAATCAATCTTTAGAAATAGGCCTAAAAATATTTACCATCTACAGCTCGTCAGAACAAGAGCCAGGACAGCAGAAAAGCAACAAAAACAAGGAGAACCACAAAGGGCTACAAAAAAAAGATGCTGCTGGTTCACCAGCAAGAAAGCTCAGCAGGGAAGTGCCTTCTGCCACCTGCCCACAGCCCCACCAACCCAGACATGTGGGCACCAGCACTGCTGGAGCAGAGGCATAACCCCACGGCAAAGGGGCAATAGTAAGTGCAGACAGTAAACCAGAGACCACACATGGGATGGCTCCTGCTGCTCCAGGTACTACAATACATGTAAAAAAATCAAACCAAAGATGATGTTTAAATGGTGTGTCATCAAGGGTGCAATTCAGTTATCCCAACAGCTACAATTCTTGTTCTTACAATTACAAAATGGAAACATCATTCATGATAGAGTCTGGACATCCCTAACACCTAGCTAGAAATGCAGGGAAAGAGTCTTTATTTAAAATGGATTGCATAAAGACAACTGGGAACACAAAGAACATGCTAACCCATTAAGATTGAAAACAGTTTTTATTTCCTCTAGAAAGTTCAAAGTGTGATTACCTGAGAGACTGTGCCACTATGTTTTCACATATTGTCAGACAATGATTCACACGGTCTTTCTTGGTAGCTGAGAGTTCTTTCTTTCTAAAAATAAAAATAAAAAAAAGGAAGTGAACATGTTGAATTATCCGCTTATTCATTCTATACCTCAGTCATCCAGTCAGCCAGTACTTCTTTACCATTATGACTTAGTCACTACTCTCTGTGCTGGAACCAGGTGGGATCAGGACAGAAAAGCACAGAGGAGCACAACCAAAGATTCCCAACCACAAGGCTCTACCGAAAATCAGGTGATCTCTTGAAAGCAGCTCATTCCCCTCATTTTAGAGAGAAGGAAAAAAATGAAGTGCCAACAGTCACCTGCCCAAGATTGCATAGGGTAAGAAGTAACACAGCCAGGACTGATCTTCTGGCTTTAAATCTACCCTGCAGCAGCTCACCAATTCACCTTCAATTCACATTTTTTTCACTTGTCAACATCACTGAAACTGGAACGCATCTTATAACCAATGGCATGTCACAGTTTAATTAGCACCTTTTTTTCTTTCTCAAGCAGAACAGAAGTCAATGACATGGATCAAGGTGAAGGGACAGACAACTCATTGAAACAATAATACTGCACCTACTCTATGTACCCAGATGCCTCCATTTCTCAAAATTACATTAACTGACTATAGTCAGCATACTATATTGCCCTCAATGAGGTGTGGCTAACCACTTCTATATCCCCAGCAGCCAGAAATAAGCCTCTTATTAAGACTCTCAGCAAGCAAAAGGAGATAAGCAGTCTGGTCAAGAAATAAAACTAATACCAGGCGTGGTGGTACACATCTGTAATCCCAGCAACTCAGAAGGCTGAGGGAGGAGGATCAAGTTCAAAGCCAGCCTCAGCAACTTGGCGTGGCCCTAAGCAACTTAGGGAGACCCTGTTTAAGATATAAAGGTAAAAAGGATTGTGGAGGTAGCTCAGTGGTAAAATGCCCCTGGGTTCAATTCCCAGTATCGAAAAACAAAGAGAAAGAAATCAGACATAGTGCTTCCTTCCCACTCAAACCTATGGCTTCAGATGTCTTCAAAGATGACACTATCAACATATAGCAGAGGGAGAACCCAAAACAGGGTACTAACTGGAAGCAAATAAACCAGAGACCCCCAAGTTTTGGGGGGAACTAATTTTAAAAGTTAAAAAAAAAAACGAATTTATTAACACCTATGATAATTTAATACCTAATGTAATCTCCAGGCTCCAAAAAGTATATAGGAAGGCAAAGACTATTAAAACTGCACAAATTCACTGAGGGAACACCCTCCAAAAGGCATTTCAGATTTGGCTGGGAGGAAACAGGCAAGGGAGATCCTCCAAAGAGTAAAAAACTGAAGTCAGGGGTCAAGAAGAACACAGAAAAGGACCAAGGCCTGAATGTTACTGCCAGGGCCTGGCATTACTATGAGCCAGGGAGCAAATGCTTACCATTTATCTCTTTCCTAAAACGGACTTTTATGATGAGTTAGTTACACTGCAGACTGCTAATCGCCCTTGGAACTTCGTTTTCCCCTTATTAGATGTACGGCCCTAGGTAGAAACTGCCCTGACTGGCCTCCTAGCAGCTAGCTGCAGGCAGGTGACTGTCCCACAGACGAAATGGAAACAGAAGTAGACTTGGTGCCTGCCCTTCCATCTGCCTCCAGACAGAACGTGCCGGACACCCAGCTTTTGATTATGCAGATGACAATGAAAGCAACAGAACAGAAGGATCTTGGGTCCCAAGGTGACCATAAGCAGCCAGGCCCCCAGACTTCCCATCCTCACAAGTCCCTCAGTTCAAAAGTGTGATGATGGAAATGACACAAACTGGGTGGTTCCACCGTGACAGATCAACAAATGCTACAGCCAAATGAGGAAAACCTATTTGGCCATGAAAAGGAACAAACCACCAATGGACACAAGGGCAAAGCACAATGCACTGTGTTTGGGGAAATAAGCTAGACTCCAAGATTGGTGATTCCATTTTTAGAACATTCTGGAAAAAAACTACAAGAATGGAAAAGTATTCAATAATTTCCAGGGGCAAGAAGTTGAGAAAAAGAGGCATGGATGTAGTAATTAATTACAAGGCTTTATGCATCTGTCAAAACTCACAGAACTGAACACGACAGAGAACTATTGTACTGTATTAAATTACACCTCAATTGAGAGAAAAAAACACTATGAGAATAAAAATGCTCTTTTCTTGAAACCACTGATTAAAGGCTCGTTACAGCAGCTTAGCTTTACCACAGCCTTCAAGAGAACTAGAGATCACTGACCATGTCAAGCACTCAGGAGCTAACTAACTCACCAGCCCTGTTATCCTTTGATTTCCAAAGTGAAAATCTGCCCAAGGCCTTAAAAGAAGTGCAATGTGCGCATACTTCAACATAGCATTCTGTTACACTGGAACCTACGAGGACTTCGCTGCATGGTGGTGATGAAAAGAAAGGTTGATGAACATGAACTCAGTAGGCCTAGCAACTTAATGGTGGTCAGAATAGAAATATTCACAGTCTGGAATTTTCAGCAGAGTTGAAGTCCAAGCAGAACCTTCAGGACCATGGAATCTCCACTTCCAGGCCTGAAAGGCAGGGAGCTGAAAGGTAGGATTCACAGCAAATCCATTCTCACTGGGTCCAACTTTCCCCATCCACAAATGAAAAGCTCAGCTAACAGCAGGATGGTCAACAGGGATTTTTTTTGATGGGCCTACTGTAATGAATGGGTTGTGGCTGCCCAGAGCAGTAAACCTCAGCTGTCTTCAAGAAGACTATCATGCTAAATGACTGGGGAACAAGGCCTCCTAAAGGAGGTGATTCCCAAGGTCCCTTCAGCTATTACTAGAGTTTACAAGGCACACATTGAGGAAAGTAGCATGTCAATATGCCAACCATCTGTGTAGTTAAAAAAAATCATTGTGGGGTCCAAAGTCTTATCACTCAGGAGAGTCATTAGAGTACTAGGAAAGCCCGAAAAAAAACCTTGCCAGGGACAATGGCACATGCCTGTAATCGCAGTTGCTTGGGAGGCTGAGACAGGAAAATCCCAAGTTCAAAGCCAGCCTCAGCAACTCAGCAAGGCAGTAAGCAACTTAGTAAGACTCTGTGTCAATAGAGTATGTAGCTCAATGGTTAAGCACACCTGGGTTTAATCCCTGGTTACACCACCCCCCCCCCAAAAAAAAACCCAGCTTCACACTAATTACCCATATGTCCAATGAAGAATTGGATGGGGGAGCTGGGATTGTGGCTCAGTGGTGGAGTATCCGCCTAGAACTGGTGGGACCCAAGTTCGATCCTCAGCACCACATAAAAATAAAAAAGGCATTGTATTATGTCCATCTACACTAAAAAATAAATATTAAAAAAAAAAAGAACTGGATAGGCCCATGGACTTTTTTAAATCAATCATAGAATGAATACAAATACAAGTTTACAAAAGTTTTCTTTCTTCTCATATATAAGATAAACCAAAAGAATACAGTTCTAGCAATGAACAGCATGGCCCTGGCTCAAGAGGCCTACCACCAGGACTGACTTCAATAAGAATTACTTAGCCAAAGTCTATCAAACTATGACTGCAAAGAGAGAATACTATATCCCACCAATGAAATAAAACTTCATTATTCTGTTGTTTGGGTCCAGCTCCTCCCACAGCCCTTCTCCGGGCCTGCCAGCACCTCTGTGGCAGTACTCCTCTGACTTCCTCACCAGGGAGGACAGATGCCCGAGCACAAAGGCCACTAGCATTCAGTGTAAAGCACACACTTCACAGGGCTCCACAAAGAGCCCATCAAGGTATGGGAAACCAAATGTTTTCCATAGAATGTTTAAGTACGCAGTAGAATGGACTCAAAAAAATTTTAAATTAGTCTTATGGAATTTAGAAGACAAACAATAAAGATTCCTTTCTTTAAACTTGAGTTTCTAAAACCAAAAGATCAAAGAAAGTAGAAATTACTTTTTCTACCACTCTGGAAAAATACAGTCATTTTAATTCCACCTGCAAAAGAAATGAGCCGTGGTCAGCCTGCTCTAGTGTGCAGGGGAGCATCTGCACAGATACACGTGCAGCACGTAGAGCAAGGACATCCTGCTTGCTGGAACATAATTTTTAAATTACCAAAGAACTAATTCCGAAAACATAAATTCAGGCCCTCTCATCTAAACTCCTATCTTTAGAATTATGTAATTTTAAGATCATGCTGGATTACCCAAGGAAGTTAGAAGCTTTTACTCTTTTGGTTACCTCACCATCAGTCCTCCCCAGACTTTTACACACACCCCAAGCTGCAAGCAGAACTGGGGTCTGGGGGCAGCATTACCTGCAGGCCCAGGACTGAGTGACAGGCAAGGACCCAGGGAAACCCATCACTCAGCAGCCAATCTCCAGCTTCTGCCAAGTGCTATGCTCACGTGAGAGGGCCTAAACAATTAGGACATTGTCAGAGGAGGTTTGTAAGAAGGAATGGGACATCAGCTCACTTGGAATTACATTTCATACTTTCTAAAGTAGCAATGGTTTAGAAAAGCATGCTTAGTTTATCATTGAATGCGGTTACACACACACACACACACACACACACACACAAAAACGTTTTGACTATCTAAATTCAGTCTCTGAAGTAGCAACATCCTGCAGCTTTCTGAATGGCAAATGACTTGGACGTGACATCATCATTCATCGGACAGAAACAAAAAACCATCTATAGAAAATACTGAAAGATCAGTTATACTGTGTTAAAATTTCCTAAAATAAAAGATAGACTGTACAATCAGAGTATTGCTAGTAAAAGTGTTCCTCCTTAAAACAGTAAAATAGGGGCTGGGGATGTGGCTCAAGCAGTAGCGCGCTCACCTGGCGTGCGTGCGGCCCGGGTTCAATCCTCAGCACCACATACAAACAAAGATGTTGTGTCCGCCAAGAACTAAAAAATAAATATTAAAATTCTCTCTCTCTTTAAAAAAAAAAAACAGTAAAATAATAAAAGTGTTCCTCCTTAAAATAAAAAGTGGCAAAGCATCCCTGGATTCAATTCCCAGTACCAAAAATA